CTTTCTTTGTAACCAAACTAGGGTTCCAGTCCTGCAAATACTTAACTATGCATTAACCATGTATTGAAAGTAGTCTCATTGACTTTAAAAGAACTACTTTGTGTGTGAAGAAGTCTCTGCATGAACAGGGTCTGTATCTGAAAATAGATGGTTAATATAACAAGACCATTCATGGCTGAAGTTAAAATTAATCATAATATAGTGTTGCAGCACACAGATAATTAACATTTTTCTGACCCAATATTTAGAAGATGAAAATTTAATCCTGATTAAAATTAATCAAGATCTAAAGAATGTTTATCACATGACAAGAAGAGATCTGTAAAATTAAAGAAAGAAAAAGTTTGATATTTACCATCCTCACAACACAAACACCAGCTTTGATTTTAAAGAAGTTAGTAAGTATTCACTCCCTGATAAAATCTAAGTATTTTAGAAAAGCTGACTCTTAACTTTTCAAGTGACTAGTGGATATATTTAGTAAATTCTTTTCACCATAAGTTTTACATATTTTCATTTATTCATTGTATATCCTAAACACACCTCTGGGGGGAAAAAAACTATTTCTTTAATATGTTTTGTGGTAACTTTTTTTAAGACTAAGTACCAAAAAAAATAAAGAAATGGGAAAGCAGCCATTAGATAAAACCAAGAAATCTGAACTTGAATTCCATATTCTTGTTAACAAGTTTTCCTCATAGTGGAACCTGCAATGGATTAATTGTTAGCTTTAAATAAGAAGATAGAAGTTAAAGGAAATATCTGATGGGAGGGAGAAATAATTTGAGAGTTGGGTATACAGAAAGAGTTGCAGAAAATATACCACCACTTCTACAGTTAGTAGTACAGCCATAAGCTGTTGAACTGTACATCAGTTTACATCAAGTAAAATACGGAACATCACTTTAAAAATGACACAAGTGTTCTGTAATCTTCACAAGAGACTTCTGTAGTAGATATAATTTTTCCCATTTTACAAATGAGCACAGCGGTCAAAGACAATAAGTGAAATCCTTGTCCTTTTAAAATCAATGGTAGTTTTGCCAAAGACTTTGATAGAGCCAAGATTTCACCCAATATTTGCCAACATGAGATCCTAAGGTTGAGCACAAAAATCAATACTTGGGTAACTAAACAAGTGGCTCAACTTTCACAGGTGAACGGCACCTACGACTCCTAGAAACTTTGTCCCTGTGAAAAACAGGCAACTTATTTAATTGCCCTCACACAGATTTAGTTGCTTAGCTTTTGGGACCCAACTGTACATAAACCTAGATTAAAGGTGAAATCTTGGTCCCTTTGAAGTCAATGGTAAAGCTCTCATGGACTTCAATGGAATTATGATTTCACCAGAATGGTTTGTCACCCATGCACACCCTCAGCTGGAGTTCCAGCTTTTATTGGGATACTATAATCAAGTTTTTCAAACCTAGATAATCTAAAATTCTTGTCCAGAAAAGGATTGCATTCCCTGGAGATTATGAATTATAGTGACAATTCCCTGAATTATCTGACCTTCTTGAATGCTCCCATGACAGTCAGAACACAGAAGTTGTATGTTCAATATGCTTAAGACCCCAGAAGTCATTTTGTTTTTACACACTGTATCTCTGTTTTTTCCTCCCTTGCCCTTCAGTGACATACACTTTGGAAGTGATTTTTTTCACATGCATTTACTAAATCAGGAAGATTACACAATAAAATTCTAGTAATTAGTAACCTGCATAAGATTCCATGTGTTATACCTATTGATAAATTATTAGGAACATCAGCCCAAGAACAGTTTGGGTTTTTTACCTTTAGCATAGTCAACTGATGTGTGTTGGTGAATGAAAGAAGGTTTTTATTCTGGGTTGTTTGGGTTTTTTTTAAATGAGCTCTCAGATTTGTTTGAACTCCATCTTTTTTGCTCAATTCATTAACTTCGAAGTTAAAAAGATATTTTTGAGCAAAAAGAAACAATGTAATGTGATTAAAATATATGTTTGGCCTTTTGGAGCTAACTTCCGGTCATATTGAAAGAAACTAAGTTCCCACCCAGGATATGCAGAAACATTTACAGAGACTGTCAAATCAGTCTTTAAAGTAAGTTGCAAACTGATTTTGAAAACAAGAAGCCTTAATATTTGATTTTTTTTTAAAAAAAACTTCTTGTGCTTCTGACCTTATAAAATTTCAAACTGCCCAGGCTGAACAAGATTTTCTTTTAATCAATTTTTAGCTAGTGGAACACAGCAGCATTTTCCTCGAGAACATCCAATCACACTAAAAAACACAGAACAGAGTACTTGATTTTCAGAGCATTATACAACCACTAACTAATTAATCCTCAGAACACTCCTCCGAGGTAGGGAAGTACTATCCCTGATGCATATGGAGGACAAGTTACTAACCCAAGGCCACACCGCATACAGTGGCTGAACTGGGACTAGAATTCAGTGTTTAATGATTTCTAGTCCTATCTCAATATTCTAGATAGCCCCATCTCAACAGATCTTCAAGACTTACAAGGTACATCCAAAGGCCTGGACAAGAACATTAGCAGCCACGCTCTATGGAAGCAAAGTACAAGAGCTCCCCTTCAAACTAAGCAGTGAAGGAGAAAGCAAGCCTCACACTTAGGCCTCACAAAATCAGGACAACTCAGGGTGCCCAAACAGCACAGGACTCTATGTGATCGCCCTGTACCCAAGTCCCAACTGCCTCACCCTTGAAACATCTTGCTCTCTGGCAGTTGGTAACTGGTGCTGGATGCAGAGATGGAACCAGCAGTGATGTCAAAGACATTACGGCACCCAAGAAGTTTGAGGCTCATAGGCCATGTCTTCACATGTGATATAAGTTCAACTGAGAAAAACATCTGGACTTGGGGTTTTCTGAACCTTACATCCTCACAATTTGAAGCAGCACATGCCCAATGTTTAGTTCACTCCACTAATGCCACACGTTTGTTGCATTGTCCTGACCGCTGCAGAGGCTTTAAAATAAACAGAGGAGTGGTTAAGGATCAGGTCACCCATGGGATCTTAATCATCCAGGTACAATCGAGTTACTGAGTGTCTGCTCTATGAGAGTAAGAGAGTCCTGAATGCCAATTATTCTGTGCAGCCTTTTCAGACGCACTTGTGTAATTAATACTACAAATGTTCCAGTCGGACAGGGAGTCTTATTTATTTGGCTATTTCCCAAGATGAGGAAAATGCTCAAAATAAAAATGAGCAAACGGCAAAACAAAATACTCAGATTTTCAAACAGCAATACTTCCTGCCTAGTCTCATACACCCACTTATGCTCCTGTTCTCCTCTTAATATGCAGCAGAACCCATGTATCCATCTAATCGGGACCAGGGCCAGATCGGATAATCAAAAATTCGGATAATGCAGAGAATGGACAAATCCAAGACTGCAGCGCCATCTAGCAGCCAAAGGAGAGATCACCCACTTCTGGCCCTGTGCGTGCTGGTTGTTCAGTTAATACGGAGAACCAGAAAATGGAGTGTCGGATAAACTGGGTTCTAAAGTAGTTTCCTGTTAGCTTGATAGGTTAACATTATATAGCAGCCATTGGTAGCAAGCACTTAGTCCCAAGGTGCATGTAATTTAGCTATGACCACCCAGAACTGCAAATTGGGTGGGGAAAAGGAGGAGAAACCACAATACAAATCCAGACATCCTCTCAAGATAACAGTTACCTTTCACAAGCATCACAGATCTGGATGAGGTGTCAAACCCTTTAACTACAGTATCGCTATACAAGCATGGAACACCGTTTCACTCAAGAGGTTCACATGATAACCTTGAACCAGGTTAAAAGAGAGAAGAGCTAGGTTATTTCTGAGCTACACAGTTTCAGATTCTTAGCAATTGACTCAAATTAAAAAACTCTAAAGGCGGGGCAGGAGAAGCTTTGATTCATTTACATCCCAAATTTTACATACTTTTAAATGTGCACATTTGATTAAACAAATTTAGTTAATTATAAAAGCAAATTTGCTGCATTCACAGTAATGCCAGTTTAGAGTAGTATGCCAAACTCTGGTAATGTTTACATAAATTTAAAGTTATTCAGTCAACGATATAAAATCTCCCCAAAACAGGTTTAACCAAGACACGTGCTGACAATAAGAAAAGTTTAGAGCCTGTTGTAGCCTGAAAATACTATTTCAGAGAATGTTCCCTTTCAAATGATTTTAGGATGAACTGCACCAAGGAAATTCAGACTGACACTTGGTCCAAAAATCCTTTCATTGTTCAAGAGAGTTGCAAGCTGGCCATGGGTCCCCAGGGTGCAATCTTTGAAATATTTTTTTGATTTAATCTGCTTCTGTTTTAAGAATAACTATAACCTTGCATAAGGATATTTCCACTGCAGTTGTGATGGTTCTACAACTCTAAATGTAGACCACAAAAAAGGACGAACAGCAATTTAAATTTTAAATAAAACTTTGGAGGGCTCAATGGATTATCTACACTGGCCTGAGAGAGAATCAAGTTTAATACCTAGTCCCCATCTAACTGGGTCTCAGCAACTTCGGCTCCTCCAAAAAAATTAAACAGAAGAGAGATCCTGTACAATTTACTTTTACTACAAATCAACGACTCAAACCAAGGTAGTGGCTAGGGGAGGGGGAGAAATGACTGAGGAGTATGGGATCCCCTTCTGAGAGAAAAGTAATTAAGCCCTTCTTAAACTTCCATCAAAAATTATTATTGGCAAAAAAACCTGATTGGTAATTTAAAAAAAATACCTTAACTATACACTATCTACACCTATTCCAATGCCACCATACAACAAACTACTGTAGAAGATGACTGATCAGGATGATATGGGGGAACTAATTCTCCAAGCAACTTAATCTTAATAATAACGGATGTGAATTCAATCCAGAATTAAAGGGTGAACGTACATTTTTAAATATACCGAACCAATGTTAGGTCAAAACTACTTGCAAGTAGATGAAACATAATATTTTATTCACTTAAGTCTCACAATGACCTACCTATTCCTGAATTCGCTCCAGTGATTATAACCACTTTTTCACTCAGATCACGACCCTGAAGGATTTCCATTGCAGTACTGTTTCCATCATATCTCTGTCTAGTAGTAGACTTCATTGGATTATCTTCAACGGTAAATGCCAGTCTGGGATCAAGGTATGTAGTCCTTTTGTTTATATGGCTGTAAAAAATCAAAAACAAGATTTCAAACAATTTTTGTTTCTTCGATGCCGTGCAGTAAGGTTGCAAGCACTAGGGAAACACTGAAGTGTTGCCAAAAGCAGGTCTTATTAATACCAAGAATGTTACTAAGAGAACATGTGACTTGTTCTCTCCCTTTTAACTTCAGTCAAGACCTTTACAAGTTATGGCTTGTCTACACTTGAAACACTGCTGCAGCTCTGCTGCAATAGTGTTCAGCATAGACACTACTGCCACAAAACAGGAACGGTTCTTGCATCACCTTAAGTAATCCAGCTCTCCGAGAGGCAGAAGCTAGGTCAAAAAAATTATGCCATCCATCTCCACCCTCTGACAAACAGAGGCTAGGGATACCATTCCTTACCCATCCTGGCTAAAAGCCATTAATGGACTTAACCTCCATGAACTTATCCAGTTCTCTTTTAAACCTGGTTATAGTCATAGCCTTCACAACCTCCTCAGGCAAGGAGTTCCACAGATTGACTGTGCTCTGAGTGAAGAACTTCCTTTTATTTGTTTTAAACCTGTTACCCATTAATTTCATTTGGTGGCCCTTAGTTCTTATATTATGGGAACAAGTAAATAACTTTTCCTTATTCACTTTCTCCACACCACTCATGACTTTATATAAATCTATCATATCCCCCCTTAGTCTCCTCTTTTCCAAGCTGAAAAGTTCTAGCCTCTTTAATCTCGCCTCATATGGGACCCGTTCCAAACCCCTAATCATTTTAGTTGCCCTTTTCTGAACCTTTTCTAATGCCAGTATATATTTTTTGAGATGAGGGGACCACATCTGTACGCAGTATTCAAGATGTGGGCGTACCATGGATTTATATAAGGGCAATAAGATATTCTCCATCTTATTCTCTCTTTTTTAAGGATTCCTAACATCCCGTTTGCTTTTTTGACTGCCACTGCACAGTGAGTGGATGTCTCCAGAGAACACTCCACGATGACTCCAAGATCTTTCTCCTGATTAGTTGTAGCTAAATTAGCCCCCATCATATTGTATGTGTAGTTGGGGTTATTTTTTCCAATGTGCATTACTTTACATTTATCAACATTAAATTTTATCTGCCATTTTGTTCCCCAATCACTTAGTTTTGTGAGATCTTTTTGAAGTTCTTCACAGTCTGCTTTGGTCTTAAGTATCTTGAGCAGTTTAGTATCATCTGCAAACTTTGCCACCTCACTGTTTACCCCTTTCTCCAGATCATTTATGAATAAGTTGAATAGGACTGGTCCTAGGACTGATCGTTGGGGAACACCACTAGTTACCCCTCTCCATTCTGAAAATTTACCATTTATTAACCAGTTCTCAATCCATGAAAGGATCTTCCCTCTTATCCCATGACAACTTAATTTACATAAGACCCTTTGGCGAGGGACCTTGTCAAAGGCTTTCTGGAAATCTAAGTACACTATGTTCACTGGATCCCCCTTCTCCACATGTTTGTTGACCCCCTCAAAGAACTCTAATAGATTAGTAAGACACGATCTCCCTTTACAGAAACCATGTTGACTTTCGCACAAAAAATTATGTTCCTCTATGTGTCTGACAATTAATGAAAACTTTGCCAATGCTTCAAAGGACTATACCTCTGGACTCAAACTGTAGCAGCACCCACCAGCATTCCCCAGCCAAATAAGCTGGAGGAGGAAAAGAAGCAGCAACTTCATTCTTGGTCAGAGCCTTTCCTTGAGCCAAGTGAAATTCAGAATTTCTGTCCCAAAGAAATTCCAGCATTTCAACTGAAATGTCCACATTTTTCCCCCAAAAAGAGAAATTCCCACAACAATTTTAATTCAGAAGAGATTAAATGTTTCATTTTGACATTTTTAACGGAAACATTTCAACATTCCTGAAATTGAAGTGAACAAAAATGTTTCATTTTGAGTCACTTTAACATTAAACTGCATTTTCCTATTGTAACGCTTTGACGCTTGAGAGTTGCATTTCAGAAGCCTGAGGCCCCCATTCTCCCCTCTGTGCCAGGCTCCCTAGCCAGGCCACATTCCCACGGTGAATCAAGCAGAACTTGGTCAGAAGGAAATCTACATTGGATTCTGGAATATGCAGTCCTCCAGGGAGCGGAGCTGAGCTGAGCTCAGCCCAGCCCAGCGCACAAGAGAGACCGGGGCTTGAACTATTACTCCCAGAAAGCAATCTGCTGAAAGAGAAATGCAATTTGATGTTTTATTTAACTGATTCAGAATTCAATTCAAAAAAATCTTCAACAAAAAATATTCTATTTTGGGATGAACTGACCCTAAATGAAATACTTCATTTAGATTTCCCTCCCCAATGGAAAAAAAATGAAAGTCTGGCCAAAAAAAAAAAAAAAAAAGATTGTCCCCACCCACTCCATGGAAAATTTCTGTTTTTGCAGTAACTGCATTTTCTGTCAGAAGATCATTCTAACAAAAAAATTCTCAACTCATTCTGATCAATGATCTTCACAACACCTGTGCTCCCCTTGTGTGAGCAGATTCTACAGTTTGGACTGTAAATATTCTTCCCTCTCTACTGATTCATTGTTTTCTGAAACAACCTCCCTTCTCCTCTCTATCAATATCTATTCAAAGCCAGACTCAGTATTCCTTATGATCCTTCCTTCCTCTCTTTCCTGTCCCTGCTCCTATGAACTCACCCCTCCTGATGTTGCCCCTTGTTCTACCTCTCTTTCTTCCCCGCCCCCCCCCCCCATATCTTTTAGATTGTAAGCTCCCCAGGGCAGGAATTGTTCCTTCTGTTTTTCACAGCATCCAACACATTCTGAGCACTACCATATTGTAAAAACAGACCAACCAATCGTGGAAGCTTGGCGGTCCATATAAGCAGAGTCACATATAGAAAGTGTGAAACGGGTTTTGCTTTACAAAAACTGATCCATGTAATTATCTTTTTGAGCTGGGATCACAAAATCAAGTTCCTATTGTATTTCTTAAATTACTTTTCTGGTTAAGAAGAGACAGCCTCACCTACCCACACTTTGAAGAGACAGGAATTTTAGTCTACCAGAGTCACAATTTGTTGTATGAAGAATTCACAATTCTCTCTCTCCTGACTTTACAACAGAGGATATTAACATATCATTGGGTGTTCTCTTTGGGAACCCTATCTTCATATGGAGTTATCTTTTGAATTACTCCATTATTCCTCAATTCATTTTACCAATAATTTGTTTCTAGATTCTTTCCACCTTTTGTTTAGCTAGGAGAAGATGCTGGAAATCTATTGATAATTAATTAAATATCACAATTATTCTGTTATAGAATTAAGTTTAAGTCACTCTCAATTCTGCACTGCAAGTTTATACTTGTGTTTACGTGAAACAATTTACTAACATGGTGTGTGGGGGAGGAGGGGGAGATTTATTACATGCCTAAACGTTTAAATATTAAGTTTTTGCTTACTGGTTTCTGTGTATTTAACTCAAAGAATCATAGCATTGCAACTCACTAGAGTGGTCCAAATCTCATATGGGTCATCAGCCCTCCTATTCATTCATGATCTACATTTTCAAGTACTTACTCCACAAAGTAGACTTGTCCATTTTCATCTGTTTCTTGCTCCCACCCATATGGCAGATCTAGAATACAGAAAATATATCTCAAAGCATTTTCTACAGGAAGTTTGAACTTCTGGCATTGCTGAATGTGGAAAATATATACAAGCATTTCCATCCCTAATACTCCTACCAGCTTGACTTGAATACTGAAGCTAAGTTTAAAAACAAGAACTGCTCACAAACCATCAAAACAAAGGAAAGGTTCTCAGATGAAAGGTATAATATGCAGGAGATCTAGAATAAACAATATGATGTGGCATGTGGTAATTACTAACAAGGATATGGAGATGTTTGCAGTAGGCTAGTAGTCCTTTCACAAATGACTTTTCTTGCAGTACAAACCCACAGGGTTTGATCCTGCCTTATAATATGTCGCACATGTCCCATGCATCTTGGGCAGAGCTGGTGTGAATGCATGATCAAGTATAGCAGCTACCAAAATACTGGATTCTGCAATATTGTATATAATGCACATTACATATCAGAACATGGGAATAAGCCCCAGTGTGTGGCAGACAATACTATTATAGGGGTATGATATGTTAAAAGGAAAGAAATGATAAAAAGTATAACAGAATATTTTCCTAAAAATGTTTAAATCAAGGAATTTTGCTGCTATTTCAAAGAAGCTAAACTTGGCTGAAAATATTACCTGTAATTCATCAGGGTGGTGGTTCAAATATACTGGAAAACATTCTAACATGAGGTATGTGCACATTATTGACAATGTATGAAACATGAGACATAGGCAGCACATGAACAACCTATCCCTTTCTTTAATGGCTTTAAATATTTTACTGACACAATAAAAGATAAAATAAAAAAATTCAAATTTAGTGATGGAGTCCCACCTTGGCATGCCTATGTATAATGCTCTTATCCTCCCGCCCCAACCAAAAAGTTACTAATATCCCTTTAACATTAATCTACTGAAAATGTTAATATCATACATCATCTAGTCTTAATGCAGGACTGTTTTTCTGTATGTATAACATTGCCTCCTTTAAAATGCACTGTTTTTATTTATCCTCCACGTTTATTGAAGCTTTCCCCAACCAACAATCTTTTTGGTAAGCAAGATGAGATCACGCTAGTAAACGAGATTTTATTCTCTCCAGTGCTGGAGCTCGGCTCACCGCAAGGGAAGGGAGGTGTCAGGGAGCCAGTTTGGGTTCCCTAATTCTCAGAGCACTCTCACCTGAGCCACTAACAGAAGATCCTTAAATGGGCATTTTCCCAGTAGCAGATTACTGTGGTGGTCTAAAGTTCTGCCATGCTCTCTTCCTGCCTACTCCTTCCTTGACACATACCTAGCTCAGGTGTGTGGGACATGGAACAATGAGGCACTGGCAGGGAATTCCCCTACACAAGTGGAATTCTCTGCTGGCATTTACAGCCGAAATAAGAACCCTTTGTGTCACCCAAGTGGTGGAAAGGGGTCGTAACACAATTTACGAATCTTGCCATGAGCCTCTGCATCCATTACAAGGACAGTAAACAGAAGACCTTTGCACTTCTGCCTATTCTTTGCCTTTATGTAGAAATAAAGTCATGCAAACTGACAAACATGTTGGGCTTTGGTGAAACAACGGGGCTTTACTTTTATAAAATGGCTGACAAGACTCGGGCCAAACACAGCACAAATCGGCCATCTAGATCCTCCATCCATTCTGATCATTACTTGTAACTTACTGCGTTACAAAAGCGCAACACAAACCTCCTGCAATGCGTTTTCTCTTTCCAGATTTAGGATGCTCCCACTGGGTTTTCTCTTCAAGATGACTGTTTAAAAAAAAATAATTAAAAGGACAATTAAACAGAAGCTTAAAGATACATTTCTATTATTTACCTTCAATATAATATATCACCATAGCAGTGTTCCTGCTGCATTCCGATTACATCTTTCTGTGGTATAAACCTCTTGAGGAAAGAAATATATTCCCCCTACTTATTAATAATATCTCTTCCCTATTTAAAAGAAGTTTCATGAGTGCTGCCTTAGGTAACTAGATTCTATGGTGCCAGGATTTTGAGAAAAACCTAGTCACACAGAACAGAAGCCACTACAATTCAAACACAAGTTTGGATCCAAGTCTCATTTCTCAGGCTGGCAGGGAGCAAACAATCCCTCTGGATGATTAAAGAGCAACATTAATAGATTGCATACAAAAGGCCATTGGCTTTAAGGGGGAAGATCATGAAACATGTAACCATGAACCAGGATTTCAATGGGAATACATTATAGAAAAGTTTGAAGTCACAAAAATCCCTTTCAAAGTTTTGCCCAAGTTATTTCCATAAATAAGATGTGGCGTAAAAGAATTGGAACTTCCACCTTAGCAAGTGGAAGTCTTAGCAAGTCTTAAAAGAAATTTACCAGTGAGCCCAAAGGGAGAAACAGTTCTTAATTATAGGCCAGCAAATCACTGATTTATTCATTAATTGGTTCATTTAATAAGGCAGATCATGACATCATCTCCCATCTAGAGCTATTATTCACCTGAAAAATATTCATTTGAACAGATCTAACCATACCACATAGCTTTCTACACTTCGACTCGGGTAAACAAGCAGTATAAACAAATTAAAGAATATAGATTATAGACCCATGCTTACAACACCAGCCTGTTATTGAATCAGAATCTCTTCATCTAAAAGAGAAAGTACATTTCTAGCCCCCACATCTGGGCAGAAAAGCTTGAAAGCATGCCCCAAGAACAATTGCTGCAGTGGTGTCTGCCCAAGTCTGCAGGCAGCTAGAAACAACGGCTCTGTGAGACATGACTTGACCTGCATCTCAGTGAGGTGTTAACCCATTGTTCTGGGGGCTCTGCAAACACCACCTGAGCAGAAGAAAAGAGTAGGATGGACTAGACATGTTTACCTAAAATGAAACACTCCAGCAGCTGGATTAATACTGATACTGATACTTGTGCATCTCAGTGGGAAAGAAGAAAGAGGATACTTTCTAAAACCACAGGAGAAAAAAGGGGCCCCATTCCACTGCTCCTCACTCTCTACCAGTGTGTGTGCATACTAGAAATATTGAAAATGTGATCGCATTCCTACAAAAATCAAGGATAGGATCAACATAATTTCTGACACCCATGTATGCAGAGGAATAATATTAGTTTACAATGCATACTGGTAAGTTACTAAAATACTTCATCAAAACACATGCAGTATAAGTTAGATATTTTTGGTAAAGGGAAAAAATACAGGTATATGTTAAAGCCACTGTCAGCGAAGTAAACGGATAGGAAGAACTGGGAATAAATAAGGCCCTGAGCATGCAAGGAGAACTGTGAGGATGCAGAGCCTTTAGACCTTACTTCCTATACATGGGAAGTGTAACGTTTAATTAGGAAGTTAACAGATTATTTAAAACAAAAACATTGCCATATAAATATCAGAGACCAAATTATAATCATTACAAATCAAACATTTTCTTTAAAAAAAATCGGCTATATTTGCATGTATTGGGTCAGATTTTCAGCTGGTGTAAATATGCACAGCTCCAATAACTTAAATGGAGCTAACCCAACAGCAGCTAACAGTCTGACCCACTAAGTGAATTCTTTTGCATAAGGTACTTCTCTGGTGGTTTAGTACATTGTTTTAATTACTGAGAAAAAATAGGTTTCAGAGTAGCAGCCGTGTTAGTCTGTGTCCGCAAAAAGAACAGGAGTACTTGTGGCACCTTAGAGACTAACAAATTTATTTGGGCATAGCTTTTGTGAGCTACAGCTCACTTCATCGATGCATCCGATGAAGTGGGCTGTAGCTCACTAAAGTTTATGTTCAAATAAATTGGTTAGTCTCTAGGGTGCCACAAGTACTCCTGTTCTTTTTGAAAAAAAATAGTGTGTGTGTATTATACACAAACACACAGGCCAGATCTATACTAGGAGTGCTTTGCCAGTATAGCCACCAGTATCCTACACCAGAAAAGCACTCCCCCACAGCTTATACCAGCAAAACTGTACTTAGGCTTGGTATAGCGAAATACAGCCCCCAAAGAGAAATAAGCTATGCCAGCAAAAGTGAAGTTTTGTCACTCTACACTAGGGGCTTTTGCCAGCACACTTATGTCTGACAAAGATCACATGCATAAGATCTTACTTAAAGACATGCTAGTAATGATTACCAAAAGCTGGGCTCACTGAAGTCAGTGGGAATAAAGGAACACTTAAAATCTAGACTGAATAATTTAGTTTGTGGAGAAGAATTACTTTTTTTATACTCCTCTCATGCTGGACAAGCTAGGAAGTGCATTTGGGGTGCAGAAGTAGGGAGAAGAGAAGTCATCTGACAGTACGTAGGAGAAAACACTGCTACTACATGTTTTTCCTTCCACAAAGGGAGATCATGCTAGCCTTATAACTGGAGGCATCATTCAGACTTCAATACAGATTGACTCCACAGCCAATCCAGTTAAGGGAGCTTTAATAGAAAAGCAGGGAAATTCTTCTCACAAGTCAGCCCTGTAGTGCATCCTCTCTTGCCAAATGCCCAGAATATGGCAATGTCTAGGCTTAACATTTTCATAATGGCACAGGGTGGCAGCTATCGGCCAATGAATCACCCGACCAAAACTCTGGCAAACCTCAACATCCTGACTGAGCTACACCCCTGTTTATCACTTTCAATAGCTACACATAGGCAGATTATTATAGCACCTGTTTATCTTCTCCTCCCGTACCAGACAAAATTGAGAGCACCATGATGCTTTATGTAAGACACTATTGCTCTCACATATGTACACAAATATCCCAAAATATATGAAAGTTATATCCTCCACCCAAAAAATATACAGCAATATTGCCCCCAAACACAACCAACTCCCACTGGAGTTTTATCCCTTTTACGCAGAGCTGTATCATTAACCACTTACCCAGAAATGACAGCTCCACCTATGTGTACTTAGTATTGTACTTATGCATCCCCACATATAAAGCAGCATATATCCCATTCCCCCTATCCCGGTCTCCCCTGATGCGTAGGGCATTCCTGCCCCCTTCCCTTCTCTGTATCCAAGGTGTTTATTTGTCATCCCCCTGCCCATTACGGTAGTACCTTACTGCACTTCACACATATTAGTAGATCTAACATCACAACACCCCATTTGGTAAGTATCAGATTGGGAAACTGACATGCACTGAAACAGGTGACTTAATTAAGTCCTGTTCTCATGACCCTCCCTCCCATATAGGGCTCTGTCACCCTCTCTACCCCTCCCCCAAGTTTACACTAGTGTCATTCTGTGTAGGGAAGCAGCAGCTCTCTGCCCCCGCCCACACCTAGGAGAGACAGCAAGGATAGATACAGAAGGCAGCTACTGTGCCCCGCGCAGGAAGGGCAGCAAGGACGGGCTGGGAAGGGGTAAGAGCCATGCCCCCCACCCATCCCCAGGGCAGGAGGGGGAGGGGGTGGGGCAGCTCCGTGCCCCCCACCCATCCCCAGGGCAGGAGAGAAGTGGGGTCAGCAGGGTCCCGGCGCGGCGGGTGCCCCCTTACTTAGCGTAGTAAACCCAGCCGTCCTTGGTGGTCCGCTCCTCCCAGCCGGGAGGCAGCTCCTCCTCGCTGTCCGTGTCCTCCAGCCCCGCATACTTCAGAGCAGCCATTGGGCCGAAGGGCTCCAGCCAGCCCCAGAGCAACCGCCACCGGCCCGTTCCCCTCACGGCTCCGCCCCTTCCGGTGAGCTCCGCCAATCGCGTGGTGAGGGGAGCCCAGTGCCCCCCTGGGAAATGTAGTCCGGAGAAGAGGGGCGCGACAGTCGCCGCCGGACAGGTGCAGCGTGTGCGGCGGGCGCAGGGAGCCCGACTCCTGCGAATAGAGACGCTCCCCGTTGCTGTCCCAGCGGGCGTCCTGCGGTTCTCAGCCTACCTCCCCCTGGCGCTGTGGCTGGGTTCGCAGTCTGCCCGAGTGCGGGTGCAGCTCTCAGGCTGGTACCTCCAGGGCGGCTCAGCGTTTGTCCGAAAGGGCGAGCTCATGCTGGAATCGTGATGGCGCCTGAGACTCTCCGCCTTCATTATTGAAAGAGCAGGTGTCTACGCTCCTGGGTGCGGAGAAAAGCGTGAAGTAAGTGGAGCCTAAAGGTTAAGTTTCAGAGTAGCAGCCCTGTTAGTCTGTATTTGTAAAAAGAAAAGGAGGACTTGTGGCACCTTCCAGACCAATAAATTTATTTAAGCATAAGCTTTCGTGAGCTACAGCTCACTTCATCGGATGCTCAAATAAATTTTAGTCTCTAAGGTGCTACAAGTACTCCTTTTCTTTTTCCTAAAGGTTAAAAAACCCAAAAGCAAAAAAATCAATTGCAGCACTTAAAAAAATCCTGCTTTTAAGTCAGTTTTATCCTTTAGGGGATTCTAGTTGGTTGTACATTGGTGGTTGGCACGATTGGAGAAGACCAAGACCCACTGTATTAAATAATCAAACAAGATAGTTTCTAAATTGCCCCTGTTGGCAGCTGATCATTTTTCATTGCTTTTCAATAAATACATCTGCAATAAATATAAAGGGAAGGGTAAGCACCTTTTAAATCCCTCCTGGCCAGAGGAAAAACCCTTTCACCTGTAAAGGGTTAAGAAGCTAAAACAACTTTGCTGGTACCTGACCAAAATGACCAATGAGGAGGCAAGATACTGGAGGGGGGGAACAAAGGGTCCTCTCGGTCTGTGTGATGTTTTTGCCAGGACCAGAGCAGGAATGCAGGTCAGAACTCCTGTAAAAGGTTAATAAGCAATCTAGTTGAATATGCATTAGATTCTGTTTTGTTTAAATGGCTGACAAAATAAACTGTGCTGAATGGAATGTATATTCCTGGTTTTGTGTCTTTTTGTAACTTAAGGTTTTGCCTAGAGGGATTCTCTATGTTTTGAATTGGATTACCCTGTAAGCTATTTACCATCCTGATTTTACAGAGGTGATTTTTACTTTAATTAAAATTCTTCTTTTAAGAACCTGATTGCTTTTTCATTGTTTTTAAGATCGAAGGGTTTGGTTCTGTATTCACCTATGCAAATTGGTGAGGATTTTTATCAAGCCTTCCCCAGAAAAGGGGGTGTAGGGCTGGGGGGGATTTTGGGGAGGAAAGATGTTTCCAAGTGGGCTCTTTCCCTATTCTTTGTGTAACACTTTGGTGGTGGCAGCTTTTAACCTAAGCTGGTAAGAATAAGCTTAGGGGGTCTTTCATGCAGGTCCCCACATCTGTACCCTAGAGTTCAGAGTGGGGAAGGAACCTTGACAACATATATGAGGATGACTGAGCTTGCTAACTTTTGTACACTAGCGGGTGCCCCAGATTTACCCGACCTGATGATTTATTTAATCCCTTTTTGGTTCGAAGGAAAAATCACAAAAGTTTTAGGAAAAAACTAAAAAAAGCCCTCTTTAGTTTCTCTGGCTGTGAACATTGCATTACTTTTCCCTTACTGGGCTAGAAATACACCACTTGTCATTTCCTCAGAGAAAAGAACTGCATCCAAAATGACACTTGGATAAGTCTCAGCCTTTGCCTTCACTTTACTGGCACTTAGGAGCACTCAGCATGGCCACTGCATGGCCCATTTCCCAAGACTGGGCAGCAGGATGACTGTAGTGATGTATGGCTATTTGCTGATGATGACTATGGTGCCCCTTTGTATTAATTCTCCAGCCAGTCATTCATCTTTGAATCATGGAGAGTAAAATCATGACTATATGTGGTCATGGTCTAGTGATCACTGTAGAAGCCACCTACTAGCTGAGGGTAAACACATCCAAGCAACATGCTTATATCGGAAGTGACCAAGAGACACAATAACTTGTCAGGGGCTCAAGTTATTAGACCACAGTAGTGATACTGTTAGTTGGTACCACCCCATAGTTACTGCTTGTTGTTAGACAAGAAAAAGTCTCTATATTTCTTTCTCTGGGATTTTTTAGAATAATACTTTATAATTCTATAGCAGCTTTTATCAGAAACTATCAAAATGCTTAATACTGGTTTATATTAAGTTACACCACACCCATGAGATGTATTATCCCTCACTGGGGTGTTGAGGCACTGAATCACAGCAAGGTTAAGTGACGAGCCTGAGGCCACACAGCAAGTCTGTGGTGGAACTAGGAGTAAAAGTCAGATTCCCAGTCTTGTGCTTTAAACACAAGACCATATCTTTCTTTGTGAAAGCAAAAAATAGGCCTCAGGTGAAAGGAACACCACAAAAAGCAAGTTTCATTATAAAGGAAAATTTAACTTCATTGTGGCAAGAAAATAATCTAAGACAACACAAGCACATGCTTTGCTAAAGGATTCAAACATTTGAGAACTTTATGACCACAGATTACAGCTTGCCAAAACCTCCCTTTGAAGGACTGAAGAACTAGGATATATACCTTACTCATAGCTTAGGTGGTGCTCAGCCTGGTGTGGTGTCAATATACCATAACTTGCTTCCGGGAAAATCCCCTCTCTTCAGTGTCTTCAGACCACCTAAATGAGTAGTCTCCATTGGTCCCTTTTCCATATCTGTAGAATCTGAAATCCTAATAACTATATTGTAATCAGGCCTGCTGCCTGTGAACATTTATAATGGCATGTGTCATCAGTGGGGTTAGAACCCAGGGTTTTGGGCTGGTAAATGCTGATAAGAGTCTGGAGTACTTGGAATATAGGATTTGCCTCCTGTAACAAAGTGAGTGTGTCTGTCTCTATTTGTGTGTATACACGGCTGGGCTGTAAATGTAATTATTGGAGATTTCAGCAGATGGCACTGTAGACAAAGAAATAAAGCTGAATATGCACTATTGGAGCTATACAGTTCACCTGCACCCCAGTAATTGCATACACATACCTGTCTGCCTGCAAGACTTGAATTATTTCCTGGCCTGCCCTTCCATCACTTTGAAGGTCCCTTTGAGAGGTGACATTGAAGCAGTTTCTCATGTCAATCAGTCAAAAGAGGTGTTGGCTATGGATGGGCCAATTTTCACAGCAGAGAACTTACAGTAGCAGGGCTGGGAGTACTAAAAAGCACGGCAACAACCTCCCTGCTAGGTGCAGGCATCCAAAAGGGAAGGGGCACTTCAGTGACATGCTCACCTCTGACCTGCCAGCCCTGGGAAGTGCCTGCACAAGTGATCTATAATAGAAGAGCGTTCCAGATCAACCTAGTAGCTAAAGAGGTCACTTGTTTCAAGATTGTAGCTCCAAGGTTTGAAATTCATAAAGCTAGTAACTTATTGGTGACTGCTGGCAGAAAGCAGTTAGTTTGAAGGTGTTTTCCCCTCTCCTCACCACCTCCTCCCAACAATCAACAGCTGAAGTTTCATGATGCAAGTTTAATGGGAATATGGAAATGAGTTGTCAGCCAGCCCTCTTCCAAGCATCTAAGATATCCAACCTAAGTATCTATGTATCCTAAGATATACTAGCAGTATGCTAGATTTAAACTCCTAGTAAAGAGTCCTTCAGCGTCAAAGGGTGTCACCGTGCCTCAGTGGGTCACAGCCAGGAATAACAGATTCAGGACAATCTGTTGAGAAATAGGGTGGACCAACCCCACATGGGGGGTTATTCTATCATTAGATTATAGCAAACCAGTTACAAAAGTAAACCAGTGTGATGAGGAAGTCAAAGATGCAGTCGGCTTAGGCATTCCAGCCCTTGTCTCACCATCCAGACAGTGGACTCTATGATGAGTGGTTACCGAAAACCAATTTAATCAAATACAGGGTCCTTCTAATCTCAAGAGATCAGCCACATAGCCAGGTCAACATATAACTTAGATCTTACCTAATAATCACACTGCTGCCAATCTTTTATTAATAAAACTTTAGGTTTTAGTTATTAAAAGAAGAGAGTTAATAAATCATATACATACAAATAATTGCAAAGTCTTTATATCAGGTTTGTTGCAGCAATGGAATAAACTGCAGCTTGTAAAATTTCTCTGGTATCTTCCAAAAGATTTTTAGTTGTAAATCCATAGTCCAGAGAATGAGGGCAGCAAAGAGGCAAAATGGAGATCTCAGGCATCTTTTATACCCTTTGCCACATGCCTGGAAATTTACTGGCTCAAACAAAGCTCACAGCCTTTGTTTGTGAAAAGTTACTGACCCAAGATGGAGTCCAGGACACCTGAGCATATCACATGTCCTTACATGGTGTGATGACTCACCCATATTCTTGCTGAGACAGCCTCTTCCTATGGATATCTGAAGCGTTGATTCTTCTTAATGGCCCATCAAGCTTGAATAGGTTTCAGAGTAGCAGCCCTGTTCATCTGTATCCGCAAAAAGAAAAGGAGGACTTGTGGCACCTTAGAGACTAACATTTATTTGAGCATAAGCTTTCGTGAGCTACAGCTCACTTCATCTTATGCTCAAATAAATTTGTTAGTCTCTAAGGTGCCACAAATCCTCCTTTTCTTCAAGCTTGAATAGTTATTCACAATGGGCTGGCGAGACGAGGTGTTACCCCAGGAACAAACACATTTGAGATACAGATACAGAACCAATATTCATAACGTTAGATACAGTGATGCATGAATTTAACCAGAATAATCATACTTGATAGACTAACTTTCGTTGAAACCTTCCATTCTACATTTTGTAAAAAATGTCCTGCAATTGTAAAACAGTGGTAGCAACAATGATACAAATGGACATTTTCAATTAGACAGTATCACAACGGATTATATTAAAGTATGTGTATAAATACACTTCAGATCACACACAGAATGACAGCAAGTTTAAAAGTAGACGTGTGTATATGTACACGTGCACTGTAAATAACCACTATCTTTCATGTGACATGTTCAGTATGAAAGATAAAATACAAAGAGTTTTGTCTTAAAATCCCTGCCCTCGTGTCCATATGAGATACCTTTATGGCATCCCTCAGGGTTTACAGTGTTTTCTGTGAAATATCCATGTATCCAATATTACTGCTTCAGGAGTAGTAATATTTATATTTATCATGGTAAGTTACAAATGCTAACACCCAGCTCTTTCCATAAGTAGAACTCAAAGCACTTTTTAAAGGCAATCAGTATCATTATCCCCCTTTTACAGATGGGTAAACTGAGGCAAACGGGTGAAGGTCCAGATCCTCAAATGGAAGTTAGGCACCTAACTAGCTTTGATGATATGGGCTGAAGTGACTTGCTCAAGGTAACCCAGCAGGCTAGAAGCAGAGCAAGGAGAAGACCTGAGTTCCAGTCCAGCTCTCTAGCCACACTCAAAACACACTTTTGAACCACTGCTTCCTACTTTTCACCCAGAAATAACTGCAGGTGAAAAATGATTAACAGTTCACTGTCTAGCTGTCTCATTTATGGGTACAATCAGAAACTTAGAAATGGAAATTCTGCCATTTACACCGACAGTTTATTCTGGGTGCTACTGTTTGCAGGCACAAAACAAGATCGGGCTGGGATTTAAACAAAAATCTTCTGATGATTTTGGGGTGTCATTAGGTTTGCATCCTTTCAGATTTAGTATACTTTAGGTATGTTCTTATCCCAACACTCAGTGACTTAGGGGTGAGTTTTTCTGAAGCACCTAACTCACTTAGGCACATCACAAAATCCCAACCTAAAGCACAGATTCATTTACAACATTCAGTCATCTCAGCATTAGTGAAGATTCAGTGTGTAAACCCATAAGCCCCAAAACACTGAGCTGAGTTACCCTAATGTAATAAAGTCCTTCTGTCATCAGTCATCTCCACCCTGTGTACCAAAACTGCATACACACCTGTACTATTTTAGTTTTGAAAATAGTAATAAATAAATATACATATAGCAATGTTTTTTACAACCTCCCTGCCCACACACATCGCAGACAACTACTCTTTAAAATCACCAAGATAATCTCTCTTCTCTTACCTTTGTTTGGACAAGTCACCAAATACAAGTACTTCTTTGCAGCAATTACAAAACCAGCTTTTATGAAACTTCATACGTTTAACCTTCAAGTCCCTCACATTTTATTAAAATGAAAAGCCACGATAATATGGAGCTAGAAAATGTCTAGGTAATCACAATGAAGCAGCCCTTTAAAAAAATCCTGAAATTTTGCAGGCCACATATGACTCATCACAAAGTGATACTGTAAGGAAAAAATATGCACGTTTAATTTAACTACTATGCTTTTTAAAATACACGTCATGCAGCTAAGACAAAAAATGATTAATTTACCACTTCATGGAATAATACTTACCATTAATATAGCACTTTTTCACCCATACGTCTCAAAGCACTTAATAAAGGTGAGTAAATCATTGTTCCCATTTTGCCAAAGAGGAAACAGAGGCATGGAAGTTAAGTGACTTGCCCACAGTCATGCACCTAACCAGCAAGAGATGGGAAGAGAGAACAAGCCTCCTCTGCCTATCCACTTCAGTACATCAATTCTGTGGGGTTTTTTTCCATAAAAAGCATTTACCATATACAATACATTTTAATGCTTTATATTTCTTCACAAAATCAGGTGAATTGTGCATCCAGAAGTGTGGATGTAAACAGAAGTCAAAAAACAAAAACAGAATAATCTGCCTTGATCAGAGAATTAAAGTCCATCTTCTCAAGGAAAAAAAAGAGATGTGTTCTGTACCTAAATTTTGAAGAGATGTGTTCTGTACCTAAATTAATGTAATCCCTCCCAAAATATAGATGGGGTATGAATGAGCAAATCATGTAAATGCTACTGTTGTATAATGGGGTATAGAAAGATAATTTAGTCCATAGTACATTATGGTAGATGAATATTGTACTCAATTACAGTATTTATATAGAATGTTCCTCTAAAAGAGTAGAGCATTTCAAAGAAGAAAAATATTTTATGGACCAAATTCTGCTCTAACTCCAATGAAAATCATATTTCTTACTAGAAATGTTTGTTTTCCAAGTTATATACATTTATTGTTTAAATCTTTACAAAGATCTAGATCCATAAAGCCCAGACTTAGGTTGACCTACAAAACTCCTGCTCACTTGGACTATAAAGTCATTCTCAGTCTCTGTCTCTGGCTCGCTGCATATTTAGTACATAATGAAACAGCTTTAACAGGACTGAAAGCAGCCCACATCAGAATATCCCATAGTCGAGTAATTAGGAAACTCACTTGGGAAATGAGAAACCCCTGTTCAAATCCCTTCTCCATCAGGAAGAGGGGGGAATCGAACGAGGTCTCCCACATCCGAAGTGAGCTCCCTAACTCTGGGCAAAAAGGTAGCCAGGTGGATGAAGAGGCCTCACATATGTTTTGTGCGGAGTGACGCATGTGTCACTCAGGTACCTAAGTATGGACTTGTGGGAGTTATGGGCTATGTGCACTTAAGATACACAGTCAGGAACCTCTGGAGTCAGGTGCCTATCTCCCTAAGAGCAGTGAGGCTTAGGAAACTCCCTCTGTTTGGCATCTAATATTGGCTACCTTACCTGGTGTCTTGTCTAGCATGCCAGCTTTTATAGATCCCATTCTTCGGTGCCTGTCTCTCCCTCTGCATGGTATAGGGTGCCTAGGCCCCTATCTCAGGATTTGTAGATTTCAGTGATTTTCAAGGCAGCTAGAAGTTAGGCATTGCAACGCTTAAGTCCATTTATGGATCCAGGCCAAATTATTGAAATTCTTGTTTCAAACTAATTTTTTTTAAAATTGTGTGTACACACACACACTATGAAATATATTTTTGACTTTTTAAATTCTGCCTTAAAACAAGAATGTCAAGAGTTTAGATTTATATTATATATGGTAGAAATACCATAGCAGTTATTTGCCCTTTTGACAAACGCAAGCCTGATACAATAAATAATTTCACCTTAAAACTGTGATTTAATGAAGGTGGGTTTCTGAAAATTGAGGATACATTTAGTGAATATTTAGTTATGTGTACAAGAACTTTCCTAAGATTCCACTGACTGTAGGTTTACACCAGTTTGCCTCTTGCAGTAGTAAGTAGAAATCTCAAATACTTGTTTCCTAATTCAAGTTGATACAGTACACACTGGTTTAACCTTTAAAACAAACCCTTTCTGAGTGGTAAAATGGAAAAGAGATAAAAGGGGGTGGGAGAGAGGGAGAAAAACACCAAACCTCCCCCCAAAATAGGAAGGACCCCCCCCAAAAAAAAATATTCAAAACTGAAAGTTTTTTTCTTGAAAATTTCTGTGAACATTTTCAGACAAAAAAGGTTTTCCCTTACAAAACCTATAGAACAAAAATTACATCAAACTGACACCTTTCACCATTTTATTTTCCATTTTTTGACCAGCTCTAACTAGAACCATGACAACAGAATTTACACCTGAAGGAAACAGTTGCAGTCTTTACAATGATGTTTTGGCCACTACTACTTGATTCTCTTAGAGCAGCTGGGAAAACCTACCCTTAAACTGCAAATTCTGACAAGTGGGGGACACACCATCTATCAAGAGAGCAGCAAACCCTTTGCTACCTCATCCACATTTATTCCCCAATCTACCAGTATTACTCCCATCTCATTTGTATTACCCCAGAGTAGGAAATACATACATGAGTCCTCAACCAGACATCTGAGTTTAAGGCATGACTTCAGTGGGGCTCCACGTGGGCCCAAGGATCTGCCCATGTGCATCACATTGCAGAATTGGGGCTTGCATCACTGGAATCAGTGGGAGGTTTTCCAATAATTTCAACAGGAGTTGGACCACAAACTCAGAGGACAAGCTGAGGCCACAAATTTTTTTTTCCCTATTAAGGGCCTGACCCTGCAGCCCGTATCACATGAGCATCCCAGTGAAGTCACTAAGACTACTCCATGGAACAAGGACTGTAGGATCACCAAAAAGAACAACAATTCCCCCATTGTGGGGGAAAAAAGTGACTTTGGATCCTAAAGGGGCCTGCTCAACCTTTTTAAGTTTTAGACAACTGTGCTGAATTTGAGGTCCTGAATTTTTTTTGCAGTCAGAGTTATGCAGAGTTACCATTCATTTTGTTTGTCCTATAAATAGGCCCAGATCTTTACAGTGCTGCATTGCATTCCTTCCACCTGTTTATTCAAAAACTGTGGTAAATAATCCGTTCTGCTTAAAATCCTCTGACACTTGCTTGGAGTGTCGTATTTTGGCAGACAGTGCTTCAAAGATATCATTCTGATCCACTGCTGTAGCAACCCTGTAAATTAATTCTTCCAAGGATTCCAAGCCTCTCAGTCCAAGATTAACTCCACAGCCTGCCAGAAAGTGGATAAAATAAAAAGGCATTTAGAAATGGTGATTAAGGTCACAGTGAAATATTTGCCAATTAGCACATGAAGTAGAGTTGTTGATCTCCTTTGCTTTAAGCAATCAAAATCAAGCATCTTATAGGTTTCACCACTAGAAATATTGATTTAAACTTGATTATATATACTCTGTTGGCAACCTTGATCCAGCAAAGTGCTTAAAGTTGAGAAGATATTTAAGTAGGTGTTTATGTATTTTACTGGATTGGGACCTGTATTGTCTGTCAGAGACTGGCGGATGGAAGAGATGTCTGTGGCTTCTACTGGGGACAGGGTTGGGGAACCTGGGGGCTTTCCCTGCCCCATTTGCCAGGCAGCGGCAGCCGGGGGGCTCCCAATTGATGGGGGGGGGGGCCCAGTAGCTATTCTGCCACTGCCAATGATATGGCAAAGAGTTTATTTGCCCCTTTGATAGAGGGTATGTCTATTTGTCAGAATTCACAATTTAGAGATATGGTAAATTCTCCGCTGATCTCAAATGATCAACTATCAGCAGCAGTCATACTATATTTATAAAGATACAGATCTTGCCTCCATGATTCATGCCTCAAGATTAGACTACACAGTGCATTGTACATGGGGCTATATTTTAAAGCCACTGGGAAAGGAGTGAAAATTTGTAGTAATATCTGACTCTTGCCCATTTGTAATCATTCACACTTACTTCTATAGCAGAGCTAAAGACAGAGCTAGCTTGTTTGAGGCTACATGTAGGCCATAAAACAAGTTTACTACATCATTGTTTAATTTAATTCCAGTTTAAGATCATTCAATGTTGTTGCAAGATCCATTTAAGCTTTCTAGATCCCTTAGTTTTTATTCAAATTTAGTTGTAGGAATGCTAGGATGTCCAATAAATTAATTTTAGTTTGTATCTTTTGCATACAAAGACAAACAAACAATCTCAAATACTGACGCTGAACTAGGATTCAAATGGACCTTACTGATAAGTCTGTTTCAATTTTCATATTTCTAACCAGAAGCAATCTTGTACATAGTTTGCATGATCAATCTGTTAACACAACATACACGGAATCCTGCATGGTTGGAATCGCAGTCATATGGAAAACCAACTGAAGATACAGCTGGATCACTTCTTAACTGATTCTCTGTTGCTCTAGTTATAACAGACTCCAAGCAGCCGCGTAGCCAGGTGGAGGGAACGGGGAGCGATCCAAAAAAAAAAAAAAAAAGGCGGCACCACCCACTGTGGTGCTTTTACTCACCCAGCAGGCCCTCACTCGCTCCGGGTGTCTTCGGCAGCACCGCAGGTCCCGCCGCCGAAGACCCAGAGCGAGTGAAGGTCCCGCTGCAGAGGCGCCGAAGACGACCCGGGGCGCCACCAGGTGAGTAAAAGTGCCACAGCAGGTGGTGCCTATTGATTTTTTTGGATCGCTTTCCCCCCCGTTCCCTCAACTGGGGAAAATTTAAAAGGCGCCAAGACATTCACTTGTGCTCAGTGCGGGAACGGCCGCTGCCCCCGTAGCTACGCCACAGGTCAAGGCTGGGGAGGAGCAACAGTGATTTTTTCATAGCTTCCTAGATCAGAAGCCCAGAAGGGACTACTGTGATAATCTAGTCCCCTCTCCTGTATATATATCACAGGCTATAAAATTTCCCTGAATTAACTCCTGTTTGAGCATATCTTTTAGAAAGATACCCAATCCTGATTGTAAAACTGCCAGTGATTAGAGAATCCACCCCAACCCTTGGGAAACTGTTCCAATGGTTAATTACCCTCACTATTACCTTGTGGGAAACTATCTGACCTTGATTGGCTTGTTACTTCAGCTAACTGAGATACCGTGTGACTGTTCTAAAGTCCGTATAATTCTACTTCATAGGAGCACCCAGATTGCTCAATCACGGACATTGAATAATACTGGTAAATTGTCTCATTTTGTGTACACAGGATGTTTTTCTCCTTTCTCTCTTCTATTGTGGTGTTATGCCTACAAATCTGTAATGTAATTTCCAACTCACCAGTGTCAAAATTCAGCACTCTGGCAGCTTCTCCTTCCACAGTGACCACTACATTGTCCCCCTCAATGAAGGCTGCTGTAACTCTCCTATGAGAAAGCATGATCTCAAAGAGTCTTCTACTACACTGGACATGATGTAGAGTCAATTCATTCACCCTGGGTTCAATATCCATCTTGTAGGCATTGAAAGATTGGTGGAATATGTTCTTCATTATCTAAATGAAACAGTGACTAGTGAAAGGTAACAATCTTAATTGCAAACCCCACATTTGCGCCAACAAACATCTGTGCATGCATATTAGGCAGTTCTGCATCTACACAGACACACAACGTTGGGTGATCATAGGCTAAGAGAGAGATTAACATCTTGCACTTGGCAAGCAAAAAGATGGGAGTGAAGAGTGAGCTGAAGAAAATTAGTGATGTCTCTTAGGGCCCCCTCCCTGAATGCAGCAAAAACTTATGCACATGCTTAATTTTACACATGAATAAGGCTACCTCTGGAGGTCATGGAAGTCACAGAATCAGTGACTTCCAGAGACCTCCCTGACATTCTCTGCTTCAGCCCCAGGGGCACCAGGATTCTGGCGCTGGCAGCCAGCAGGGACCTTGCAGAGTTCCAGGGACAGGCAGCCCTCTGCAAGGTTCCTCAGGGTTCCAACAACGGGTGATAGCCTTGCACAGAGGGAGGGGAACGCCTCCGGTGAACGGCTGGGGGTGTCCCGTTTTCTCTTTGGGAAACATGGTCACCCTGCAGCTCCCAGCTGCCGAGGGCAGAGGGGGAACCTGACAGTTCCCAGCCACCACGGTGGCAGGGGAAAACAGAGTCGCAGCAGCAATAGTCACAGAATTATAGGTTATGGCTTCCATCGATTTTTGTTTATTGCCCAAGACCCGTCCATGACTTTTACTAAAAATAACCATGACAAAATCTTAGCCTTACACATGAATAGTCCAAATGACTTCAAAAAAGTTAAGAACATGGGGAAGAGTTTGCAGGTTGGGGTCCCCTGAGGTTCCTCAGGGAAGGGACTGCATCATTTTTGCTTCTGTACAACTTTTAGCACAATGGGTTCTGATTAGGCCTTTAGGCACTCCTGTAATAAACATGCAGTAATAATAAACTACTAAAAATGGAACAGGAATGTGATTACCAGCCCCTTTAGAAAGGAGGATGGAGTTGAATATTAACTACAAAAATGAAAACAAATGAAGCTTTCACTGTGAAGGCTTTAAAACTGGGGTTAGAGAATTAGTTAATTAGTTAGTTACAGAGAAGAAATCAAGGAGATGGAGCATAAGTAATAAAATCATTTCAATTGTTTATGACTATTAATCACAAGCACTCTTTCTTCATCAAAGAGCCATCACTAGCAGCAATCTTCACTCCTGGTCAATGCTATCCTTAGTTTCTTTACACTGATAACCATACAAACAACCCCCATGCATGACACTGTTCTTTTACTTCTAAGATCTAAATGTGTCTCTTAAAAGAAAGCAAAATGCTGTGTTCAAAGAATGTTCTATGTCCTGTGTTCAAACAATGATTTGATTTGGGCTTGCTTGTTTAAACCATTTGCTATGTAAGGAATTGGATATCAGAAGAAGCTTTGCTTACTTTTTGCAAATATCGGATGCTAAATCCAGGTTCCCACAGGTTGCATGGCAATATATGGTTATTACTAAAATGAGTGTGGGTGTGGGGAAATCCAGGAAATCTCGTGATATGGAATAATATCACTGCACTTTCCCCTGAAACTGAATTATCTTCAGTTACATGTACACACTTGAATCAAAAGAATCAATTCACTTGTAAGAGGCTTTCCCCCCTCCACCCCAACCTCCAACACACACAAACGGGTGATCATCAGCTGGCTTTTCTAAACAAACCAATTTCTTAGCACAAAAATTATGACTCAGGAAAAAATGAATAGCAAGAAAATAGGCCATAATTTTATAAGCAAAATGAAGCCATGACTAGAACACAAAAGGCAAGGAAGCTACAGAACTGTTGTTGTTGACTACAGGGGGGAAAAAAAGGAATACTAACACCAGAAAATCGCATCACAATGCTTAACACTTACATAGCACTTTCCATCAATAGCTGGGCCTGATCCTTTATCAGTAATACCAACACTAGTTTTGTCATGGATTTCAGTAGGAGCAGGGTAAGTCCCAACCCTATAAACCCTTATTCATGTAAAGTAATCCTTATTCATATTAATAGTTCCATTGAAGTCAATGAGACACTACTCCCATAAGTAAACCTTACTTATGTTTGTCAAAGTTGAAGGGTGCAGCCCTAACCAATCCTAACACCACTCCTATAGAATACAAGTCATGGGTGTGCTTCAGCAAAGCACTTAAGAATGCGCTTAAGTTCCTTTCAAGTCTGTTAAAGCATGTGCTCAAGTGATTTGGTTCAAGGCCATGAATCCCATTTTGCGACAGCTGAGATGCTGGGATTAAGTGACATGGCCAAGGCTATGCAGCAAGTCCACAGCAGAGTTGATAATATAACTCCAGAGTTCCTGGCTCTAAATCAGCCAGTCAGCACTCAGTTTCCCTCAAGTTCTGAATCACACTTGTTTTGCTAAGCAGCTGTCAGAATGATAGGGATTCTTTACGGCTAGGGAGATGGTCCTTTTTCCTATTGGATAGAAATGTCTATAGTTTGCTCACAGAACTGGCAAAACCATAGAGAAAATTTATATTTTTAGTGGATTTCTGTAAAATGAAAGGAATTGGCCATTTCAGCTGATATTTTTACTAATAAAAGTCCCTGTCTCCTCCACCAAGAAATATAGCTGATTTTCCATGTAATGGGGGGAAAAGACTGCTAACTTTTCTCTTTGGGCTTCACCTCAACTTTAGGTTCTATCTTGTTTTTGGGGGTTTATTGATTTCCTAATGGATTATTGTTCCAGCTAGTGTGTAGCAGTGAAGTATATCAACCTGTTAGAGTGCCTGATGTTTCTTGAAGCTGCATTTTTGCATAGTTATTTAGTAACTTCAAACTCACTCACTTGCCGTGGGAAACCAGACATCCCTTCCCCCCTCTTGAACCTCATGATTCTTCCCTTTTCTTTCTTCTGTTATTCAGCCTGGCTATAAAGAGTCAACTACCTTATTGTCCGACTTAACTGTGGTCCCTTCACAAAGGATATAGCCACACTGGAAAAAACAACCACCAACCTCCAGTAGTGAATCTCAGAGCTCGGGCCTACGGACTTGGGGTCACAGTTCAGCACTAAAAATAGCCAGGTAGACGTTCCATCGCAAGCCGAAACTTGGGTTCTAAAGCCTGGGAAGTATGGTGGGCTTCCAAGCCTGCATGCCAGCCTGAGCACAGCATCTACATGGCTATTTTTAGCATCGTGACATGAGACTCAGTCTGTAGACCCAGGCTCTGAAACTCACTGCTACGGGGTTTTTTTTTTGTTTCGTTTCTTGTAGTGTAGAGGTACCCAAAGATGAGCTCCCCAGTTCACTTCATCATAGCATCTGCCAGTGGATAAATGCTGGGAGTCTTATCCTTAGTAAGGGTCATTTATACCCAAGCTCCTTAAACCTGGACTGTGCAATTGTGACAGAGTGTGTATAGAATCATAGGATATCAGGGTTGGAAGGGACCTCAGGAGGTCATCTAGTCCAACCCCCTGCTCAAAGCAGGGCCAATCCCCAACTAAATCATCCCAGCCAGGGCTTTGTCAAGCCTGACCTTAAAAACCTCTAAGGAAGGAGATTCCACCACCTCCCTAGGTAACGCATTCCAGTGTTTCACCACCCTCCTAGTGAAAAAGTTTTTCCTAATATCCAACCTAAACCTCCCCCACTGCAACTTGAGACCATTACTCCTTGTCCTGTCCTCTTCTACCACTGAGAACAGTCTAGCCTAAGGCTCACTCACCACTCTCTGCACTTGGCAAGTGTCACCACTAGGACAAACTGAGGAGATAATTGTTTAAGGACCAGATGATTAACCAAACAACAAGATGATTCAGCTTAAGGAGGGCCAGAGAAACTGAGGATCTCAGGCAGGTAAGAGTCCCTCACCATCCCCCATGTCTAAGAGAAGGTAAAAGCCTGGGGATCAAGGACTTGGGGCAAGTCTACACTACAAAAGAGTCAACCTAAGTTATGTTGACATACAGCCACCACAATAATAAAATTGCTTTTGCATATCCACACTACGGTGGCCTGCATCCTCACCAGGAGCTCTTGCGCTGATTTAACTGTCAGTGTGGAGCATCGTGGAATGGCTTCTGAAAGGCAGCAACAGGTGATGTAAGCAACAAAGTGTCTGCACTGATACCGCGTTGACCTAACTGGACCGACCTAAGCACTATGCCTCTTGCAGAGGTGGAGTTAAGTCAGTGTAGTGGGCAAATTACATGGGGAGGGGAGAGCTACATTTTAGTGTAGATGCTTACAGAGTTAGGTCGACAAAAGGCAGCTTACGTTGACCTAACTCTTTAGTGTAGACCAGGCCTCAGATAGCACAATGGAAATAAAGAACATGGTGTTGAACTTGCCGGAGGCGTGCGTAAGGACTGTGTGCAGCAAGGAATCCAGGGAGAGGGAGCCCTGCCCTGTGACAGCAACATTACATTTATTTTTAAAATGGGTTAACACAGTAGAACCTTCTCCTTTCAGATACTTTTGAGATAACATTATGGGTATCAGAGAGCTCTGTTAATAATTTTCTAGATGAATGTGATTACAGTACTAGAAAATTGTGAGCTGTTAACAGTACCCTCATTATCTGGGCTGGTCTTTTAACTGGCTGCCTCATTTTCAAGCTATTGCAGTATCCTAATTTCCATGCGACCGATAAAGGGGGAGGATTTTAGATTTTTAGCTGCATCATCAAACCTGCAGACCAGCTTTGTGGAGGCATGGAGTGGGGCAGGAAAACACTGCACTTCATTTAAACAAAACAAAGCAGAAACCCCCTACTCCTTCATTGTAATTAGAAGAAAAAGTGAAAAATTCTCCAATAAAGTTAAAAGGGACCTACAAATATTACGTGCATTGAAGAGAAGTAGAACACCTGGATTTGTGGTACTTATTTTGCTTGGTTGGTTCCCCTCCCCCTCAGCAAGAGAACATGAAATGTATTTTGTTTGGCAGCACTACAGCTGGAAAATGAACAGCAGCTGTATTTCAGGTTGGATGAGGTCTTCCATTCCTTCTCCTTGCCCAGTTGTCAGTT